GTGATTGATGGGTATATCAGCAGATAGATGAAGAGAAAAGTAGTGCGACTGCTGCACCATTGTTGATGCTATCAGATATAGACCAAGCTCATGGCCCTCTTCATTCACTACAGTATGAAAAAAGATCCGACTCCCCCCGTCTTTCCTTCCCAAAGCCATATTTCTCCCTCTTTACTTTACAGGAGTTCCATGATTTTAGGCTCGAGTAAAATGTCTTCATCATCCACTTATCGCACTATGGGAGTAAAGGCTTTTCCCACTCGTGCGTCTTGGAATCAGCTTTCCATCTCAACCTAAACTGATCACACAGCTTATGTGCCAAAAGGTTGGCGGATACATTGAATGTGACGAATGCCCGCTGAAGAAAAATGGATTAAAATACAAAATGTCAAGGTGCTGCTTTAATACTCTTCCCCGCCCCCCTCCTTCCCCCCTGCTTGTTCCCAAAGCACGCAGTCCATCCCTCCCCGTCTTTCTGTCGACAGGGCTGCAGCTAAGCTCGTGCAAATGACAATCGTTACACACCTTAGTCTTATTATTTCCTCTCTGTGAACCACTTCTGTCTTCTTCTTTGCCTAAACACCGTATTATGTTTGCTGTTTGTATAATGTTGCCTCGCATGTTAACAGTTCCACCTTAAAAAGCATAAGAAAAGGCAATGTAGCCAATATGAGAGTAGCGTTATAGCAGACCGTTTCTCTCACAGAGCTGCAAAATTCCTTCACACAGTGATGCCAATTAAAAACTATTCTTCCTTCTTGGTCCTCAGTATTGCATGAGGCTTGATTAATATTTATATGATCATAGATAATGTATTTGAATTTATATGCATTTTGATTTAAAGTTTAATTTTTAAATGTAATTTAGGTCTAAAAACATCTCTTATTTATAGATTTAAACCAATATTAATTTCTTGCTGTGCATTTTGGATACTATCCAGCATATCCATTATTCACCATGTTACAAACTGATTTGTCAGCCACAAGAGGCACTAGCTCACCAGGCATTCAGACTCCAAATTGGCATGCAAAGGATTGCGTTGGTAGAGGTGAATTCAGGTACTGGTTTGAGATTAAATACAAAGTCAAGATGCTGTAGAGTTATAATTCCAATACAATCCTATCAGATGTCAAAAGACAGCACAGTGATTTATAAAACTATGAGGAAGCATTTAACAGCTCTGCAAATGTATCACAGTGGCAATAATTTTATCCTCCGTCTTTGCGATTGCCAGGTATCTGATTGCCAACACGGCACCTTACCAAATTACACTACATTGTGGAAAGTTTAACCTAAACTATTTTGCTGTAAAACCCTGTGTTTTCTTGCCAGAGCTCTCTGCGTCGGCACCCCTGCTGTGTTAATGCTGTGTGGTTTCATTAAAATGAATGAGGGGATACACACACCCCCCTACCCACCCCCATGCTGCTGTTTTCTGTTTGAGCATGGCCTTGAAGACCATCACTCAGCCTTGATGATAACAAATGAGATGTGGTCCCATACTGTCAAAAGCTCTAGAGCAAAAAGTAGGTGGACCTTGAATTGAGACCGTTTTGTCAGCTGATGATAAAAACCCATGTCAGTACTCAAACCAACTGTTCACAGCAGGTTCAGTCCTAGTCTCTAAGTGCAATTTCCACCCAGTGTTCTTTTCTTCGCCACCCAAATGTTAGGTTTACAGTGTTTTCAGAGTGTGAACTGACTGAAAAACATTTACTTGTCACAAAATAGAAAACTGTCTGCACTCTAATGAACAGCACCAGACAGTCATTGTGCACAGCCCAACAGCAAGGAGCGCAACACTGCAATTGTGGGTCAGACCTTTTAAAAAAAAATAAATAAAAAAGCAAAAAGCTGAGTAATGGCTGTTTTTAAATACTGCTCTCAGCGCACACCATCAACGCTACCTTGTTTGCTTCGGTTGCTCTCTTGTATCCTCTTTGCTTTCCGTATCTCTCGCCCATTTCCTTCACCCGTTGCAAAAGCTCCATTAAAAGGAGATAAGAGAACAAGATAGAAATCTCTCGTATGCCTTTTTCCTTTATGTACTTTCTCCCCAGAACAAAAAATGAAGTCAAAGCAATGCAAAACAAGGGTGTACCTATTACTGATTCGACCTGTTGGACCTTTACTTCTGTTTTGTTCACAAACACCCATCAGTCTACTGTCTCTATATACAGTATGAAAAATCTGTTCCTCCCCCGTCTTAATTCCTTGAGCTCTTCCATTTCTACCCATTCAATCTCTTATCGTCCTCCCCTACTTCTTGAGTACATGTACTTTATGATGTATTCCACTAGCCATTTACTTCTTTAAGATTTGGGCATCCTGTTGAGGGGTATCTGTGAAAAGGGACGAGTGGAAAAGCCTTTACTCCCATAGTGCGATAAGTGGATGATGAAGACATTTTACTCAAGCCCAAAATCATGGAACTCGCTGTATTGACACATTTCATAGCTCAACTGCACAGCTAAATGGTGTAGAAAGGCAGAGAAATAGAGGGAGGTGGGGTAAGAGATGGGGAAAAGATAGAAGGATGAGAGGAAAGCCAGTGGGATAGAAATGGGTGGAAGAGTGGACAAGGATGTGAAAAATATGTACATTATTTTAAGACGAGTGGTAGGTGAGATGGAAGAATAGAGTGCTGCAGAGAGCTGAACAGAGAAAATATGGAGTGGAAACAATGCAGAAAGTCCTTGAAGTGGGAAGGTCACAAGCTACTCCATGGCTACTCTTCTCAGACATGTTGCTGTGAAAAGCACTACATCGTGCAAGCAGCTATTATCACAGTGAGAAGTAATGCATCCTGAAACTGAGAAAGCTACATAACGGGGATGATATTTAAATAGCTTATATTTTTTGGCCTGCATCCCTAGATCGGGTGGGACTCTTAAATATATACTGCTAATCTGAATACAGCTCCAAAAGCTAAGTTGTCAGACAAATGCTTCATCTTATTTGTGGCAGTTCATCCAGGTAAAAATAAAAAAACATTTAGTGTGATCATTGAGCCACATAAACTGTTAAGAAACTAAAACAACTACCACTGGGAGATAAATTAATGGACTCAAATTCAATTGAAATAAATCCCTGTGCACAACACAACCATTTATTTCTCCCCCTCGCTCAGAACCAAGTGAGAGATGATTTGTTTGATTGGAAAGCCACTGGTGCAAATCGAATTCAATCACATCCAAGGAGTCAAAAATCACATGTCACCAGGCAGCAATGGCTGTATTTTTTCCCCCACAGCATCCATAACAAGCCGTAAGAAGGTGGTGAAACTTGGAAATCAGAGGGTCTCCAGGAATGTATAGTTGCAGTAAGTTTGACATGCACACAATATTATTATAACATTGATCAGCTTCCCCTGCCTGTTCAGCTTTAGATCAGACTTCTGGCAGGATACTGAAGGACTCCGAGTGCACATCACATTATTTTACTTATTTTTGCTAGCTTTACATTACATTTATTCATTTAGCTGACGCTTTTATCCAAAGCAACTTACAATTGCTATACACGTCAGAGGTCGCACACCTCTGGAGCAACGAGGGGTTAAGGGTCTTCCTCAGGGACACAATGGTGAGTGGGTCACAGTGGGGGATTGAACCCGGGTCACTAACACCAAAGGCATAGTCTTATCCATTGCGCCATCACCACCACCAGCTTATCTGCACTGTTACAGAATTAATGTTACGTTTATTCCCCTCAAGTCTAGGCTGCAGTCTAAGCACAACCCAGTCATAGCCATTGAGCCAGCAAGGCTTTTTGAGCAACATGATTTGCTGAAGTTAAAATCACCATTACCTCTTAACATTTTCTTTAACACACTGTTTGATTCGTTTTTATTGTGATAAATGGCTGTTATTCTTATTAAACCTTGTTTTAATTGTAATCTAACATTTTAATTTAATCAAACTGGCTTTCATTTCCATTTAATTATTTGTAAAGGGCTTTGCGACACTCAAGGCATATAAAAGCTAATGGAGAATTAGCAAGAAGAGGGAGAGGGCAGAGGATGATAGGAAGAAGAAAAGGATGAGAAGAGGAGTGGGTGGGTGTACAGTCTCGGGTGAAGGGCAAAAGGACTTGACAGCAAAAATCATCCAGGGACCTCATCAGCAAGACGCAATGAGAAATGGCATATATGGTATATAGATATAGAGGACATGTGCCTGGATGCACACAGCACTCAGAGTGACCTTGGTGTCTTCTCGTATGTGAACACTGCTAAAGAAATTCACTGGTCCCCTCATAAAAAAGGGCACACTCCATACTAATTACCACAGAAAGCATTTGCAAAAAAATAAAAATAAAAAAAATAAAAAAAATCAGAAGATAAACAAAAGAGCCACGTAAAATGTATGCCAAGTTTAGCTAACTGCATTTAGCAAATATACAGCGCATACATTCAACATGTCGCAAGGAAGAAGCATTTAAAAGTGTGTTTGACATATGAATAAAACTAAAAGCGTCTAAATTTAGCATGATTTTAAGGAGAGAGAATTATGGTGTATAATTAATTCTGGAAGCAAAGAGCTTAATATGCCTGGTTTGGATCTGGCATTTTACCACTCAATGATGACACTCGACAGTATCTCAGTCTAGAAGAAGAATGCGCCAAGAATGTGTTCAACACACAAAATGAGTTTAATTAGGTTTCTATGGTCTTTATTACTGGGGAAGTGTGTTGTTTAGTAAGATAAAATCAGAAATAGATTTTTTTAAAGCACAGACAATTATTTTGATGTTTGATATGTAGTAGTGATTTCTAATCTTAAGTAGGTTGGACTACATGTTTGGCATGACACAGCAATAAAGACAAAGCATCATGGCTTGATTTAAATAAATCAAACAAGCATATCCATATTTTTACCAAATCATCTCTACTTGCATACTTTCTCCAGATTTTGTAAGTGACGTCTCAAGGAGGAGGAGGAATTGTTCCACATGTGGTTATGAAGGTAAAGGCCTTCAAGTCATTCTAAGATGAACCCTACCTCAATCCTTCCGGTGTCTGGTTGGAAGCCTCTGGCTGGGTCTTCAGTCGTCACTCTGCACTGGATGGCGCAGCCATTCACCCGGATCTTGTCTTGTCTGAGGTTCAGTTCTGGCAGGCTGCGGCCCTCACACACATGGAGCTGGGCATGCACCAGGTCCACACTGTTAGAGAGAGTGAGGGAGTGAGTGAGTGAGAGAGATGATGAGGTGAATAAATTGATTGAAGCCATGAACATTGTGTGAATAGCCCTTAATTTCCCCTGATGTCACTGTGGAGAACATGTTTTCAAATCAGAATGGGCTGGACATTTGCAGTCGAAGTGAGGATTTTTCCAGCACTTCTCATTTGACCAAATTAATTTGGAATGCATGACAAGAAAACAATCCCTCGAAGTATATTTAAAAAAAAAAAAAGAAACCTTTGTCATAATAAGTCACAAAGAAGCAGATATGGAAAATACAATTTTACTAATGAAAAAAACAAACATTGCATCACTTAAAAACAACTGCTTGTGTGGTATATACTGATTAGCCCCATGATAAATATCTTAACAGCTAAATGGTAAAGCATCACACTGTAATGCAAAAATTGGTATCAGCAAAACTATAAAAAAAAAATAAAAAAAAAATCATAGTTTGAATAAAAACCTGAAATCTAAAAAATCTTTGGCTACATTTTCTAAAACAAAACTAATTAAAAATTATGTTTTATTTGAAAACACACAGCATAATGCTATTTGGTCTGTCTCACCAACTGTACAGTATGTTTTATTCAGATATCTAAAATTGCATTTTTACCCAGGAACAAATGCTTGCACACATACAAATAGGAGAACATTATGCAAATTTGTATTCAGTCATTACCCAATATTAGAAAGAATTTAAATGCGAGAGGGACAGAGATACGTTGTATTCTTCCACATCCACGAGTTGTAAGCCTCAACATCAATTTTGGCTCATCCGTATGCATTTATTTACATGTAAAGCTCAAATGAGACATTGTGGGTTAAGCTTCATGATTGCACAGTTTAACGCATAGCTATAATGTATGAAAGTATTTTTGTTGTTTTTTTACACCCATTTTAAATGCAGAAATGGACAGACACAGAGGGTGGGGACACATTGTTCTTAATATGGCTGTGTCCCTGCACCCAATCTGCTGCCAAACACACACACTAGCACAACTGGGAAGCCTCTCCCTCTTGAAGGGTGAACGAGAGACAGAAAGCACACACATTAGCAAACAAGCTCAGATTTTGGACACCGTCTTGGCTTCAGTCTTCTTAACGTCTCAATTTGCAGATATCCACATTCTGGCCAAAACAGAAGGACAATTATGCATCAGCCTGTTGTGAAATGTGTTTGTGGAAAAAGCAGATCCACTCTTGATTACTTGGACAGGCGCTAGCGTCATGTTTTGGTTACACTTTCATGAATATGTTTGTATTTTTGAAATTAAGACAGCTCCACTCACATCCTACAACATTAAAAAAGGGACAAGAAGAAATCACTTCATGAGCAATGCCCCAAACAGTAGTTATGGAAATTATTCTGAGTTTCCCCTGTACTTTATCGTGTAATTAGCATACCTGTAGGATATCTGTTACGAGACTCAGACTGCTAGTCCTTGTGTGGTCCAGCAAATAATCAGCTCCTCTGGGCTACAGCCCTTTAAGGCCACCACATATGAAAATAATTTGTTGTGCCTCTCCTATTGTGTGAAATGTACAGTGGCTAAGAGTTAATGTTTGAGAATAAAGTAACCTGTGTCATGTCTGACACATCAGATACATACATGAAATTCAGAACTTTGTCCAGTGTGACAAACACTTCCTCACCTTCAACACTAATAAAACAGAGGACACTCCAAATCCACTGTAGACCACTCAGTCGTCATCCATGACCAGATCATAGCCCGGGTTGACTCTTACTAAAAAATACCTGGGCATACAAATCGACAGCAAACTGACATGGAGTGTGCAAGTAGATGTCTGCCAACAGGTCCAACAGCGGCTTCCTTCATAGGCTGAGGGTCTTTGGTGTCAACCAGAAAGTGCTGCTTCTTTCCTACCATGCCATTGTATCAGCCTGCTTGTGTGCAGCTGAAAGCCCAGATTGCCCAGCTGACACAGAGAGCCATGAAAATAATGGAAGTCAGGCAGCATCCCACACTATAGGCCGTCTTTAATGTAACAATAATTAGACAATTAATTGCAATATTATTTCAGACCCCACCCATATCCTCCAATCTGAGTGTCAGCTTCTCTCCTCAGGTAGATGCTTCAGAGTTACCCAGTGCAGGCTCAACCACTTTAAGAACTCCTCTGTCCCCCGGTCCATCAAAGACCTAAATAAAGAGTTAGCTAGAGGGAAACCCTGTAATGCTGCTTTGTCTCCTTTGGGACAATGAAGTCCATCTTATCTTAGATTTCAGCTCAATCATACATTTTATCATACATTTAATACTTGTGATGATCTTTTGACTCCTGTGTTTACTCATCCATTCTTGTAAACTAAAGCTAAAATATGGCATGCGTTTGCTCATTAATTTGTTATGTCAGTAGTTCACTCATTAACCCAGTATTGCATATTCATGAAAAGGGAGGCAAAAGAAAAAAAAAAACAGCACTAAAACACAAGCATCCAAATTTGAAAACACTAACTTATGAGGTGACAGTGTGTTATAAAGGCTGCCTTTTCCCAGAGATGAAAGTCCTTTAATATTATGCAAATAAACACATTTCAGTGGCAACAACTGAACATTTCCTGAGTGGAGAGTCAGACACTTGCCATCCATGAACATGACTTTTATTACATATAAATCATGTTTGGCCTACTTTTTCCCTCCTCTCACATAATTCTTCTACTTTCAAAACATAAGGCAAAACTGATTGAATGGAGGACCCTCGAGGGTTTATGAAATTCATTGTATACTAATTTGACTCAGACAAATTAAAGAGCCTGCAGCAACATCTGTCCCTCAGTACAGCCAGTTACCAGAGAAAAGTCCCTTGTATCATTAGCAAGTTCCACAATAAGGCCGAACTACACAGAAAGGGGGTGAGGGTGATACGCCTTCAGTGAAAGTAGGGTTTGGAAAACTCAAAACAGCACATGCTCATTCTCAATAAGAGTGTGATGACAAATACTGTGGGTTGTAACTGTTGCAAAACCCAGTGCTGGAGAACACAGAGGATTAACTAAAGATGGTGATGAGGATTGACCTGAAACATCTGTACAGACGCAGAGTCGGGCAATATCGCCAGCAGTGGGGATGAGAGTTTGATACGGAGACAAAGTGACTGGGAATAATTTATTTAGCTGCACATAGATTGAGCTGATACAGTTATGGCTTCAATAACTGCTAGATGTCAATTCCACATACATTATCATATCAGAGAATCAGCAATTTAATTGGACAATGAAGTGGAGATTTAAATAAATAAAATAAAGATTTAAAGAAACATCTATATTCACTGCTGCCCAAGAAGTGCATTTCGTTTGTATTTGTTCAAAACATCAAACAAGCTATTCTATGCTTTATGACCCTGCTTGATGATGAAGAATGTCATTCTCTGTTCGGGGAGGTTTGCTGCTGTCAAAATGCAAGACAAACCATTCTAAAAACCACTCAATCTACATCTAACAGTCTTTAACATATACAAGTTACATATGTAATGTATGAGCTTAACATGATTTGTACATTAACAGTCTTATTATACAGATGTGTTTTATGCCTGGAAAACTGTACTATGGTTATTTTTATTTAGGGATCAATAAATGTGCCCTGTCTGAGAAATATAATTGTTTGACCATAAAATGGATTATAAAAAGTAGACACAAAACAGAGCAGTTCAATTCCCACGTTTCCTGCTGTAAACAGAGTTTGACCAAAACAAATCTGAACTAAAGTTGTTCCACCTGCTTATTCTCAAATCTAATCTAAAAGCGGTTGTTCCCCCACTTTTTCCAACTCTCTCTATATTGTGCATGTTGCCCATCATGCAAGTACCCATCAAGCACTGTGCACACAGCAGACTATACATGGCAGTTTAATTATATTTTGCATAGAGCCCCAGGAACCAAGGAGTAGCTACAACACTACCTGGCCCAAGGTTTGCTCTGTGTCAATTAGCTGGTGGAAATCTGATTAAACACAAATGTGTTAAGGAATATGCAGCATGTAAGCACAATATAAACTGAAATAATAAGGTCTTATAACTAGATTTTAACTCAGGACCCCACTACAGTACAGGGCCTCAAGATTACATTAGGTAATAATGGAGGACCTGCCTTAAGGCCCTTGTTATATCAGATGATATTGAGGTTTAGTAGAGGATATTTTCCTAAATTAGCAAATAATCACATTACAACAAGCTAAACAGAACACAGTGGAAATTCACTCCTTTTTCTGATATACTAAGAGCCCAAGAAAGTAATAGAAATAAACCTTGTGAAAAGTTGTAGCTTGGTTCTTGTCAACAAAGATATTAACAATTAAATGTGACACTCGTTTGAGGACCACCAGGTGCACATTTTAGACAGAAGATGGATGGTTTGAAAGAGGTGTCAAGGAAGCCATCTACACCAGGGTTGAGAAGCCGTCATTGAACAGGGGAGGGGGTCTACGCCACCACTTATCCCCCACTTACAATGCTGTCCTTTCATCACTTCCCAGGAAACTCAACAAACGTAACCTATTGGCCTCAGGTGAAGATACCAACGATGGTCGTTCAGTCTTGGCCACGGGTAGGCCTAACGACCGTAACAACTGTCGTTACAGCAACCAGGAACACTAACGAACCAGCAGTATCGATGATCCTGGCAAACAACCCCACTGAGTTTAAATAGCTGAGTTTCCCTACCAGTCCTTTGGATGAGGGACGAAACGTCTTCCAGTATCTTCAACCAAGTCCAGTTGCCCTCGACTTTAACCTTTGTTGGACAAACTAAATATCATTTTTTTGCTATCGACTTTTTTAATATCTCCTACTAGGGCCTTGTTTCCCCTCACTTTGGAGGTTTTTGTGTGTTAAAGTTGTAAAAATATTCTTTATTTCTGACATTGCTAAAGAATATATAAATCTTTAAAGATGTCAAGCCTAATATTGCATGTTCATTTTTCTGCCTGGCATCTCTGACTGTTTGCCAGTTGTGCCTTT